GATGGGGGTGTCGGGGCGCGGTGGGAGCGTGGATGGGGGGGCGTCGGTGGGTTCCGGGCGAGAAATTGCGGGGTGGGAGGTCCCAAGAACGGAGCTGCCGTGCATGGGGGTGTCGGGGCGTGGTGGGGGCGCGGGGGGGGCGTCGGTGGGTCCCGGGCGAGAAATTGCGGGGTGGGAGGTCCCAAGAACGGAGCTGCTGTGGATGGGGGTGTCGGGACGTGGTGGGAGCGTGGGGGGGGGTGCGTCGGTGGTTTCGAGGCGAGAAATTGCGGGTTGGGAGGTCCCAAGAACAGAGCTGCCGTGAGTGGGGGATGTCGGGGCGTGGTGGGAGCGTGGGGGGGGCGCCGGTGGCTTCTGGGCGAGAAATTGCGGGTTGGGGGTGCCAAGAGCAGAGCTGCCGTGGATGGGGGTGTCGGGACGTGGTGGGAGCGTGGGGGGGGGCGTCGGTGGTTCCGGGCGAGGAATTGCGGGTTGGGGGATCCCAAGAGCAGAGCTGCCGTGGATGGGGGTGTCGGGACGTGGTGGGGGCGTGGGGGGGGCCGTCGGTGGGTTCCGGGCGAGAAATTGCGGGGTGGGAGGTCCCAAGAACGGAGCTGCCGTATATAGAGGTGTCGGGACGTGGTGGGAGAGGGGGGGGGGGGGGCCGCGGGGGGTTCAGGGGCGAAAAAATTGCGGGGTGGGAGGTTCCCCAAGAACGGACGGCATGCGGACACCGGTTTCGGGACGTGGTGGGAGCGTAGGGGGGGGCGTCGGTGGATTCCGGGCGAGAAATTGCGGGGTGGGAGGTCCAAGACGGAGCTGCCGGGATGGGGGTGTCGGGGCTTGGTGGGTGGATGCGTGGGGGGGGGCGTCGGTGGGTTCCGGCGGAGAAATTGCTGGGTGGGGGGGTTCCCAAGAACGGAGCTGCCTGGATGGGGGTGTCGAGGGGCGTGGTGGGAGGGGGGGGGGGCGGTCGGTTGGGTTCCGGGCGAGGGAAATTGCGGGGTTGGAGGTCCCAGAACGGAGCTGCTGGATGGGGTTTGTCGGGAAACCGTGGGAGAGGGTGGTGGGGGGGTCGGTTCCGGGGATCCCGGCGAGAAATTGCGGGGGGGAGGTCCCAAAAACGGAGCTGCGTGCATGGGGGTGTCGGGGCGTGGTGGGAGAAGGGGGGGGGGCGTCGGTGGGTTCGGGCGAGAAATTGCGGGAGTGGAGGTCCAAGGAACGGAGCTTGCACGTGGATGGGGTGTGTCGGGGCGCGGTGGGAGCGTGGGGGGGGGGCGTCGGTGGGTTGCCGGCGAGAAATTGCGGGGTGGGAGGTCCCAAGAACGGAGCTGCCGTGGATGGGGGTGTCGGGGCGCGGTGGGAGCGTGGGGGGGGGGCGTCGGTGGGTTCCGGGCGAGAAATTGCGGGGTGGGGGGTCCCGAGAACGGAGCTGCCGTGCATGGGGGTGTCGGGGCGCGGTGGGAGCGCGGGAGGGGCGTCGGTGGGTTCCGGGCGAGAAATTGCGGGGTGGGAGGTCCCAAGAACGGGGTTTCGGGCGGGGGAGGGCGAGGAGGGAGGCGTTGGTGGGTTCCGGGCGGGGGGGGGCGAGGAGGGAGGCGCTGGCGGGTGTCGGAGGGCTCGGGCCAGAACGTATCGTGTAGAGGACGTGGGTGGGAGATCCCAGGGCGGAGAGGCATTGAGGGGTGGTGAAGTGTCAAGGAGTGAGGTGTCGACGGCATTCGTGTAGGCGTAGCACAAGGGATATCGCACACGCCTCTAGGGTCGGCGGATTCATCAAATGTCCGAGATGTGCTGACCCTGTGCAATGAAACAAATGATACTCTATCGAGATAGATTGGCAACACCGCACTCCTTCCGAAGAAAAAGCTACGGAAATGCAGACGCGAAGGTCAAATCTGAAAAGAATGCGTTGCGAATGACAATTCAGGGCATGTGCAAGACCCCCCGCCGCAGAAGGCACGCGAACACGCTCGCAGCCTTCGCACGGCACATTCAATAGAACGACTTCAGAACTTCGCAGGCTTGTAAACTACACGCGTCAATGCTGGATTTCCCAAATGGTGAGACTTGGAAGAAGCAACGCAACGACAACAATGACACATTGAAAATGTGCTTGCGTCATCACTATGCACACCTGTGTACAAAAGTATAGACGGTGCCTTCAGTTTCAGCGGCACGCAGACCGAGATACATCTACATAAAGCTAGATAGCTAAGTAGGTTAGCTAACTCGGATGGGAGTTGTTCGACATAGGCTAGCTATCTGGTCTAAGTGGCTTTTGTTATCTATGCTATGTGCTTAGGCGACTTAGTGCTAAGCTGTTTTGTAAGCGGTCTAAGTGGTGGTGAAGCAGGCCAATTGATTAGCCCTAGTATAAGCGCATGCGTCTTACATCGCTGACTTATAACCAAATTTTACTTAACATACATGTTAAGTACTAACCGTGCTAACCGAACCTTAAGCACCACGGCGATTTCAGTAGGGGGGTCAAGGATACCTTCTCTTGGACGCTCTCGGCACCTCTTGGGTCTCGGGAGGGGCCTCCGCGGAGACCTCTCGCGAGGCTTCTGGCGGGGCGCCCGCCCCGCCGGCCGCCAGGGTCTCCTTCATCGGGCGACGACGAGGAGGAGGGGGAAGGAGGTGGGCGAACGAAGACGAGGAGAGGACGAGGAGAGGGGGCGGGGGGGGGACTGGAGGCGGATGGGGGGAAGGAGAGGAGTGTCGGGAAAAGGGCGAGGGGGAGGAAGAGGAGGAGGAGGAGGAGGAGGAGGAGGAAGGGAAATGGGGAAGCGGAGGATGAGTGGTGGGAAGGGGGGGGAGGGGGAGGATGGAGGGGAGTGGTGGAAAAGGATGGGGAGGAAGGGGGGGGGGGGGTAGAGCGATGTGCGGTCTTAGGCCTCCTCGTTCGCTGCTTCTCACTGTTTGCTACAATGTTCCTTACCTTGCTGTTGAGTGCGTTGCTCTGCTTTGCCGCTCTGCTGCCTACGCAGTGTTGGCACTGCAGAGTGTCAGAGACCAGGGCGCCATAGTTTGCCGCACCTGTACACGCCAGATATGACATAATCGAGTCCGGCTTATTTCCTTGCAGTCGGCCGCGCGCTGAGGGGGGTGGGGGTGGGGGGGGGGGCGGCTTCTTGTAAGCACCCCTGCTTCTTTCTTTACAGGGCTCGTGGGTCTCTCAAGTTTGCTTTGCAGAGCGCCTCGCGCCGGAGTGCCTCTGCCGTCTGTCTCTTGCGAGCCCTCCCGAGACCTCCCGAGGCCCCAGAACAGAGAGTCTCAGAGTCCTAGCGGAGCTCCACGGGAGCCCACGACCGTCCAGGAGTGGCCCGACGATGCCCCCACAATAGTTCAGAGGAGGAGAAAGGTACCCATACCGCTACCCTTTCCCGTTTTGCCCTTTTTGGGCCTCGTGGGAGTCCCTCGTCGCCACCGCTGCATTCGCTTCGAAATTCTGGTCAGAATGCACCCCGGGAGATGTCTGGGGAGTACCGGTATCGGTGCCTTTTGGTTCTCCCAATTGAGCCCCGGAGGGTCCTTTTTGAGGCCCCTTTTGGAGGCTCAGGGGGGTAGGGGGGGATCCTTGTTTTCGTTTCGGCGTTTTGGGCTCAGCGCGGGGCTACCCTGGGGCCAGTGCGGGGCCGTCTAGGGACAGATCCTGGACCTTTCGGGCCGCGTCCACGGCGCCCCCGCCGCCGTCGTTCTCTGTAGGCATTATGGTTCGAACCATCTTGGCCCTAGAGTGCGTGCGCGTGTGTGTGAACGTTCAGGTGCGCCTCTGCCGCCTCGGTTGAACTGATTTGCACCCACCCCCTTCTATCTGATCCTGATCGCTCACATGCAGTGGGCAATGCGATTGCGTTTTGTGATTAGTTGCTTCAGCGTTGCTTTTCTGTCAGGGGTGGCATCATCGACGTCTTCTTCGGATGTCAAAGGCTCCGAGCTCTGTAGCGCAGCACCCCCCTCGCGTAGGGCTGCGGCTGGTTCTCCCAACATAGTGCTTTTTCTCACCGACGACATGGATCAAATGTTAGGTGGCTGGAGTCCGATGACAAAGACCACACGGCGCTTGAGCGAGAAGGGCGCAACGGCTAGAAATTGGATGATCCACGCGCCTGTGTGTTGTCCCAGTCGATCGGAGCTCGTGACTGGGCGGTACTTCCATAATATCAAGAACGCAAAGGCTTCGGACGCTGGGTGTATGCATGTGAACGTGACCAGCAGTTTGGACCATCCGTTTTATTCTGAGTGGTATAATGCGCCGCACTTGCAGCAAGCGGGCTACGCGGCTGGCATGTTCGGGAAGCATCTCAACCAATTTAACCCGAAGTGCCCTCCGCCAGGTGTTGACCGCTGGTTCGCTAATGACGGCTCCAGTTATGTTTCACCAAGCTTTTCTTGGGCATCGGCAGGTACTTCTCACACCACGGTTCATTTTACAAACTGCTCCTATAACGGAGGGAAGTGTTACGAAACATCTGTCATTGGCAATGTCAGCTTGGCATGGATGAAGGCAGTGCTGTCACAGCCTGAAGATTATCGCAAGCCTTTTTTCGCTTGCGTTGCTGTGAAGGCGCCGCACATACAGGACGGCCCTGGCTGGCCCTTGGCACTCCCTGCTCCGTGGTATGACAATCCAAGCATCTTCCCAGGTCTTCGTGCACCTCGGACCCCGAGCTGGAATGCGTCGTGTCCAGATCATCGCTGGCTTATTAGGCAGCAGCCGCCCATGACCGAAGAGCAAGCTGACAGGTCAGATGCATTATCGCTATCGTCACCTCGCACTTCTGTCCGTGGATGATCTTGTTGAGGATGTTGTCGCAGAGCTCGAAGCCCTTGGGGCTGCAGATAACGCGTATTTTATTTTTACATCGGATTATGGTTATCAGTTCGGTCAGTTTCGCATGCCGCAGGGCAAAGGGAACGTTTACGACAACAATTTGCGCATCCCGATGGTTATCAGGGGTCCTGGTACTGCTGCAAATTAATGTTTCAATGAGCTTGGAACCAACGTTGACGCAATGCCAACTGTGCTCGGGCTTGCGGGCGTTCAGGCACCTTCAACAATGGATGGGATATCTTCGGCTGGACATTTAATTGCAGACACTGCAGCTGCTCCGGTACCTACGAGACAACTGTTGGAGCTTGAAGGCTCGCTTTCGGTTGGAAGTTCGGGGTGGCGCAAGATGCAGCTAATCGAGTACTGCGGTCTTGGAGACGTGGCGCGTTACCAGCACTTGGAAGATACAGCGAACAATACTTTCAGAGCCCTGCGCGTCATCGATGGTAAGCACAATCTGAAATTGGTCGAGTTTACAGACGTGGGCAATTGGCATTTCGAGAAGCGTGCAGACGAGTATGAATTGTTCGACTTGGGTACAGATCCATAGGAGATGACAAATAGTTGGGCATCTGCACACCCAGATATGAAGCGTCAACCTCAGGCCGAGCTGGAGCGACTCTTTCGGTGCCAGGGCTTGACATGTAGGCCTTCGACTGAGGTCTCACAGCAGTTCGTGGTTTAGGACTGAATGTCTGTATACTCTTAAGTCGAGCATGTCCCTCTACAGGAGGAATATTCCAGGATAGTAAAAACAGTCTTGGGACGGCGTTCGACTATTTTTGACAACTTTCGAATATGCTTTGACCATCTAAAAGTTTGTCTTCCAAGCTACGCCTGTAGGAGGACATGCCCGTCCTAAGCTTAGGACCGAATGTCTGTTTAGTCCATTGAGCCGCCATTTGACATCGGCTAGTGCTCCTGGCCTCCGTGCTGCGAGGGGGAACTCGATTACAGAAGCAGTTGCGGGGTTGGAGAACGACTGGCCAGAGGCCGACGGACTTCTCGGCACGGCCTGTAGGGCACTCCGCTCGAACGTGTGAGCTCAGCCCAGCAGGAGCAGGAGGAGAAGGGGTGGACGAGGGGAGGAGGAGGAGGAGGAGGACCCGGCATCAAATCATGGGAGCCTCGTTTGTCTTCGTAATTCTGTTCTCGGAATGCACTAGCATCGATGCGCGTCTGGTAATCGACGAGATAGCGCCGATTAGCGTCGAGGTGTGCCGATTTTGCGTCGACTCGCGTCGATTAGCGTCGACCCGCGAGAACCAACAAGATGGCATGGGAGGCGCCCACGAGTTGCCGCAGAAGGAGAGTCACTGCAAGCTCTCTCTTGAGAGAACCCTTCTTGGGCCGACGGGACCCAGGACCCTTGCCTCCGGATGCCTCGCGCTCGGTGACGGGGCCTCTCTCGGGGCCGATGCCAGGCCACGGCCGGGGCCGGCGCGGGGCTGTCCCGGGCCCGTCTCGGCGCAGCCCTCTCTTCCAGGGCCTTCGGTTGGCGCGGGGCTGCCTGGGAGCTTCCTCCTGGTTTGGGTGCAACTCCTGGGAGGCTAAATTCAGCATTGGCGCTGGGGTATTTGTGGTCGAAAACCAGCCCAGTGCGGCAGTGAATTCCGCACGATCCAGCTGAGTCTGGTCTCATTCGGTTTAGCCCCGGGCTTAATCCAGCTTGATGACCCCCTATTCGGGCTGAATCGAACGGAATCGCTCTGACGAGGACCTCCCAGATGCTACCTCCTAGCAAGAGGACCCCCCCCTCCCCCGATCCTCCGTCCCTCTGCATTTCCCTCGGCCTCCAGGGGCAACACTAGGGGGGTGCAGGCTCAGGGGGGGACATGCATCGACCTCCAATCGGCCATCTATCGCCGATGGGGGCCCGATGCGCCACCCCGCCCGAGGAACGTGTTCGCTTTTGGGTGGCTTGTCGCCGATTTGTCGGCGATGCATCGCCGATTCCAGCTTCAGCCTCCATCCTCGATCTCCTCGCGCCTCCCTTCGCGCCTCTCTGGCGCGCGCGCTGCCAGCCCCGCGCCAGGTGTGCAGGAAGTGCCAGACCCCCAACCCTGTCCGGGCCTCGGGGGCCGAGGGCGCCGCGACACGCGGGCCGCTGCTCTCGGCGGCCTCGACGGGGGAAGCAACACGATGACCATGGCCAAGATGTCGCGGGATCTTGGCGACGTCGACCTTGGTCGTCCGAAGTAAAACAACTGCATAAACATAAACTTTGTGAGGTGATCGTTTTATCATCCGTCGTTTTGTCGATCGGCGCAGGCCCTCGCACCCCCCCTCTCCCTCCATGGAGTAGATCTTGGCGTTTTTTGGCGTCTGTTTCGAGCAGGCGGGGTCTCCCCCACAGGTTGCACTGTTCCAAACAGTCGCACTAAAAAGAGGTCTGGAGCCAGGCGCCCCCCCTCTCCCCTCCCCTTCCGCCCAATGTCGAAACGCCGAATAAGAAGTCGTTCACATGACCAAAATGTCGCGGGATCTTGGCGACGCCGACCTTGGTCATCCGAATGACAAAGACAGTTGCACAAACATACTGTGGGAGCTCTGCGAGGATTCTTTGGATCGGCGCTGGGCCCCCCTGGCGGCGCTTCTGGCGCTGCCCCTGGCGCGCTCCGCGGGCCAGGGAGGGGGGTCTGGCGCCGATCCAAGAAATCCGCGCGGACCTGCGAAAAGTTATGATTGTGCTTTGTATTGTTACTCTAAAGTTGTCGCGTGATCTTGGCATCGCCGATCTTGGTCATGGTCCACGCCAGCTGTCGCCGATGCGCGAGGATGACTCACGAATTGATGACCAAGATGGACGATGACCAATATTGACATCTTCGGATACTGCCTCTCACTCAGCTCTCGTCGCCTCGAGGCCGTTCCCGCGCTCAGTCTTGGTCAGGGTCCTCGCTTGTTTTCCCTCCAGTTTCCACATGGGCGAAAAGCCAAGAAGGGGGGAGCATTACATGTATCCAGCGGTTCCCATGTCGCGATTATTCCCAACCCTCCTTGGTTGGGTATTCGTTTTAAATAGAAGGGTGTGGTCGCGTCCTTCTCCCGCCCCTCTGTGGTCGCCGTCCCTGGGGGGCTGCGACCTGCGAAACTGCCGCCGCTTTCGAGGGCTGCTGGTGGGTCCTGCGGAGTGAGGCACCGCGCGGATCTGAGCGGGACTTCGCCGTGCCTGGGGGGCTGCGATCTGCGAATCTGTCGCCACTTTCGAGGGCTGCTGGTGGGTCCTGCGGAGTGAGGCACCGCGCGGATCTGAGCGGGACCTCGCCGTCCCTGGGGGGCTGCGATTTGCCAAACTGTCGCTACTTTTGTGGTCCTGCGGAGTGAGGCGCCGTGCGACTCTGAGCGGGACCTCGCTGTCCTCGGGGGGCTGCCCCCCCCCCCCCCCCCCGTATCTGCGGAAATTTGGCGCCACTTCGAGGGCTGCGTGGGTCCTGCCGGAGGGTGAGGCACCGCAGCGGATTGAGCGGGACCTCGCCGTGCCTGTGGGGCGCGCGCCCTGCGAAGTGTCGCCACTTTCGAGGGTGCTGGTGGGTCCTGCGGAGTAGGCACCGCGCGAATCGAGCGGGACCTCGCCGTGCCTGGGGGGCTGCGATCTGCGAATCTGTCGCCACTTTCGAGGGCTGCTGGTGGGTCCTGCGGAGTGAGGCACCGCGCGGATCTGAGCGGGGCCTCGCCGTCCTCGGGGGGCTGCGATTAGGATGTTTGGTAAAACTGATGGATCTCCCCGACTCCAGAACTGGCGCGGGCTTCCACTTGCGGTTCCCTTGCTCCTGCCCTTGCCTCTTGCTTGCCCTTTCTCTCTCCCTCTCTCTTCACCGCCGCTCCGCGGCTCAAGCCTTTCTAAGGCCAAGCTGGCGGTCGGCCTCAGTTGGCCTAAGGCCGGGCCCCGGAGGGGCCAGAAGACTCCCAGGCCTGGGTCCAGGCCTGGCAGGGGCGCCCGCGGCCGCACGATGCCGCGCCTGGCGCCGCGCGGCTGGTGGGCGGCAGCGTCGCCGCCCGCGGGCGCGCAGCTGCGCAGCGGTGGGGGGCCTGGGCGCCGAGCGGCGCCGGCTCACGCCAGCCGCGGAGCACCCAGAGGCGAGGCGGCATTCGTCGAGGCGGGGCCGCCGAACCCCCCCGACGAGCCAGCAGCCAGGCGCGAGCCCGCGCCGGCGCTGGCGCAGTGCCAGGCGGGGGCCGCGGGTTGCGCGTGCGCGCCGGGGCCCGCCTGGAGGAGCTGCCCCAAGGCCCAGACGCCGCCGCCGGTCGGCCGGCGCCGTGGGCGCGCGGCAGCCCTGATGCTGATCCTCGCGATGACCGTCGGGATCGTCGATGCCGACGCCGATGCCGAGTCCGCGTACTACGACGACAACGTGGACATGAGGGAGTTCTGGCTCGATGTGCCCGTGGACCCCTCGATGCACGTGGACGCGCCGCCGGGCGGGGTCTCCCCTACCGGCGGGCGCGCTGCGCCTGCAGGAAGCAGCGGAGGGGGACCGCCGCGCGAGCGCTCCGCGCCGCCGGCTGGGCCCCCTCCCCAGGACCCGACCCGCCCACCCCCCGACCCCCCCGATGGGGATCCATCGTCCTGGATCAGAGGTTGGGGTCTTTTCGGCATCAGCTGGAAGGACATCGGCAACCGCACCTACTGGTTTGCCGAGGGGATGGGTGGGGGTACCTTCAGGGCCGTGGGGAGCTTCAGGTCTGCCTTCTCGACTCGCGAGGCAGGAGGTTGGCTTAGCTCAGAAGGTGGCTGGTAGCTCTACATGACGGACCAGATGGGCCTCACCCTGTTCGGCTCCGCGTGGCCGCTGATCGCCGGGCTCGTGGCGGTCTTCGCCGGCACCGGGATGGTCGCGCTCTTGGCCCACAGCCTGAGGGCGCTCTTTGCACCCTGTAGCTGGGCGGCTTGGACCTGCGGCTTGGCGCCGGCATGCTGCCCTTGCCCGAGGCGCCGTACGCCTGGCGAAGTCAAGCTCGACAAGCTGGTTCCGCCGGCGGCCCCGCCGCTCACCGACGTGGCGTGGCATGGGCCGACTACCGGGGCCGACCCGACGACTGACTGGTATCGCAAGAGCATCAAGGAAGGCCGGGGCTCCAAGCGCGGCCAGAACGACCTCATGATCCGGGTGGACTACAGGGTTGCCCGGCTCAAGCTCAACATGAAGTCTCCTGAACGTATCAACCGCCAAGGATTGTGGGTGGAATACGATTCCGTGAAGGGTGCCAGCGACAAGAGCTTCCGGCGCGAGCTGGAGCAGCGGGATCCTCGCTGGCTTCACCTGCGCCGCTCTTCGAGCTGTACTGGGTGCAAGGGGCGCGAGAACGAGCTGCATTGCAAGGAGTGCGCGGCCCTCGACAACGAAGCCATCGTAGACCTCGGCGACTATTCGAGGTTCACACCCTGCCGGATCTTCGTCTGGCTCTGGAGGGGAACGGGTCTTGTCTACAAGTTGCTACTGTACATCCTCTCGTGGTGCTCATGTTGTGGGGCATGCCTCTGCCGCCGGCGCCGCCGCCGTCCTAAGACTGGCGATGCGGAGCCTGGCGTGCAGGGGTCAGTGGCAA